TTGTTTTGTACGCACTTGAAGCAGCATTCTTTAGTGCTCTTGGTTGTTTGGTTTGATAAAAGGCTGCCTGGTTTTGAGAAAACCTTTCCTTCTGCACTTTCATAAAAGTTCTTAATGATAATTTCTCCCTGTTTGTCAAGATTAAGCACAGAGAATGCTGTCTTGAAGGAAAGAAAATACAGAAAACAACTCAAGAGTCTTCCAATTATCATCCTGTGTTGTTCTGTTTGTCTCAGGTAGGAACGGTGTTATTTATAAGAGAATTACGTAATAATCATTACAAGCGTTATGTGTTGGACTCGTGCAGACATAGACACAACTAAAGATGCGAAAGCCAGGAACTCCCAATTGGCTTTGAAATTATTATTTTTTGGATTCTTTGCTGTTTTCTGTGTTTTGTCAAGATTAAGCACAGAGAATGCTGTCTAGAAGGAGAGAAAATCGAGCAGAAAAAAGGTTCAAATTCTTTTAATGTCCACTTTTATATGTTTTTTAAAATTTCTGTTCTGATTTAGGTATTAGGTGCGGTGTTTATAATGGCATTACGTAATAATCATTGTACAAGTTATATTATGTCTCATGCAGGCTTTGAAATTAAAATTGTTTTGATTATTTCTGTATTCTGTGTAAAGTTTTGTTTGAAAAGTTAGCTCCAGGCAAGACCGTCTTGTTTGTCAAGATTAAGCACGGASAATGCTGTCTTGAAGAAGAGAAATTACACAGGAGAACAAAACTGAAAAGTCTTCCCAGTATCATCCTGAAAAATGCTGAAAAATATGCTTTTTGTCCTGTTCAGGTCGGAACTTTGTAATGAACTTTGCAACGTAGTAATCATTATGTTTCGTGCAGCCATAGAGACATAGGAACTCCCACTTAGTTAGTTATTATTTTTTGGCTCAAGCTTCTGTTTTCTCTATGTGATACCTGTTTTAGARTTATGAATTGTATCTGCATGCCAACCGTTTTCTTATTTTYGAGACATTGCATTGATATTCCTATAGTTCGTGACTCAGCACGAATTCTAGAAATGGTGCGCTCAAATTATTTGACAGACACATCATTATTTCTACTGCCAAACCGTTAAAAAAAAACACAGTAAAAACAGTAAGAAAACAGTAAAAACATCAGAAGTACATAACCAGAAGTGTCCATTTCGCTAGTAATATCGACATCATCAGGTGTCCCGATAATCTATTTTTAGACAACCAATCGCAACGCGCGCATATACATCACGGTATACCTGATTGGTCCTTGTTGATCTACTTCAAGACCGGACAAGAAAAAGGAAAATGTAGTCGATGGAGGCAAACGAAGTTTTTCTGAATTTGTTAGAAAACATTTTTTGCTATATCAGCAATGTAGTGAAAGTATTTCAAGAGCAATATGGTCTGCGAAAACAGGGGAAAAGTTCAGACAATGAATAAAGATGTAGACAAAAGGCGTGCGACGAAAAGTTAGTTTTATTATGCAATACATTCAAATAAAGTTGGACGTAGTCTAAAACAAAGTCAAAGGTTTTGAAAGTAGCTTTCGACTGTTAAACTTTGTAGAGATTCGACCCTATACATTTTCAGGTAGCTTGGAGGGTTTGTTTGGAAATTAATAGATATTTAATTTCTTTGACGACTTTTCTTGTTTGCAGCTTTTCATAACTTCATCTTGTAAACCAAATTAAAATTTGACATGATTTCGTTCTTACCTTTTGTACCTATTGGCTTGTTTGTCTATTCTTCGCTTTTCTTTCAAAGAAAAATTATTCCAAACTTGAAATTTGAGTTCACTATATTGAATTTTAGTCAAACATCATTTTGCTAAAAGAGTTTTTGATTGACTTTTTGTGACATTTTTCGCACTCGTCTTATTCGGTATCTTTGAGATTTATTTTTCCCCTTTTTACAAAGCTATTTAAATCCTAGATTACCTTTACAACAATTCTATGTATAGGTAAGAGTTCTCTGATCTTTATGATCAACATAAAATTCCGTTTGTAGAGATAAATTTCTTCAACGTTCTACAGTCTTGTTTATGAGGATTTGAGAATGTTCTCCATTCAATATTAGTGTTATATATTGGGAATATAATATGCCATTACTGTGATTTCTGCAAGTAGTCGATTGACAAAAGGTTGCCGTCAGCCGGACTATGTAGCACGCGACCCACCCGGAAAGGTTTCTGGGTAAAAATCAATGGATATGCAAATTAGGCATAACAACACCTTCTAGCAGTGTCAATTTTTCGTCGACGTATGACATATCTTTTTCCAAAAAAGGCTTTTCTTCTCTTTTTTAAGAATTCGAAGACAAACATTGACCATTGTTAGCAGCGTCCTAGATAAGACTCGGCTAGATTGCTTGTGAATTTGTAGGCTGTATTCCCCGCCATGATAAAAAACAATGTGAGATGCAAAAATCAACATCACATGCATGCATGATTAAATTCCCGTGATTTAAAATTTTTTGTTACACATAATGTGTCAGTTCTTCCAATCACAAAGGCGCTCAAATCTCTAATTTGTCAGGTCATTGATTTTTACCCCGAGACCAATTCGGGCTAGTCGCGTTTCGTGAAGCCCGGTCGACCACAACCTTTTGTCTATCGACTATATAAGTGCATATATGTTAGGTGCAAACGCATCCGTGGTTTAATGCGCATTTGATAGCAACGTTGCTGCACACGATGGGGAATAAATCTGCAGACCGTGGTTATTCAGATAAATGATGCCTTCAATGTAGTGTGACTATGTGCAGACGTTTGTTTCCCGACTGGCGTCACAAACCGATCTATTCTCGATCACAGGTATCCCTGCTACGGAAACTTGTTGCCATCTGCATAAGGAATGTCTTCAAGTGTGATGTATAGGCGACCAAGTCATGGTTGTTAGGACCCTCTTTGTGCATTAGAAGCCAATTGGAAAACTATATGCTTTTGGCTCGGCTAATCAGAGGCTACCAACGTCTGCAAATAGTGTCTACAGTCCACGCTTATTCTGAGATAATGTGGTTTATTAATATCCAGAGGGAGGTCACTGGGTGCAAATTCTGTTTTGAATGTGTAATTTTGCGTTCACAGCTATACGTTRCGGCAATTGTGCGTTAGTGTGGTCCATTGTTTATAATTCAGATTACTCAGAGCAAATGCTGTCTTCAATATGATCCACCATCACAAATCCCCAACCACCTGATGAGTCGTCAACAATTCGTATCTGAGCAGTTTGATGTTTGTATGCTGTGACGTCAAACTCTTTTTGCATCATGCTATTTGATGTTCCATCTGATGCTGTTTTATCAACAACGTTTCCACCAATCAGCAATTCAAGACGACATTTGGTAGGGTCACTATTTCCGCCAATCAAAAACCTCAGTTTTCTTCCATGGATGACAAATGATGGCGATGTTGCGGTTCCAGTTGGGGGATCTCCTTGCCGTTCTCCTGCAGAGTGAAAGGGACTGGGTCTATACTCGAAAGTCGCAATGGACCAATCACCTTTCAAGTTTGATCTTTCGCCAAAACGATAATAAGGGTTGTCTCCATACGTAGGCTGATTGTTTAATGCTGTTCCTGTCATAGTCCAACCGTCAAGACGCCCAGATTCAAAATCAAACAAAACACAATCTAAAAAATAGTTCAATATTATTACATGCAATCTCTGAATGCAATCTTGAAAAGCAACACAACTAGTAACAATATTGTTATAATATAACAATATAATAGTATAATTAATGTGGATGGACGATGTCGAGTGGCGAGAATGTGTATATCGCTATATCCCATAATAATATAATCGGCATTGTCAAAACTTTGTATAAATTACAAAAAAGTACTGTGACGGATTGGACAATCACATTTTAATGGTAAAAGTATCATTTAGTTTTTCTTTCTTCACATAAAAAAATTTTTAACTGGGTGTGTTCTCCAATATCTGTTTATGACGTATTTCTTGCACCGATCACCAATAACAGTTAACCCTTGCTTTATTGTAATAATGTGAGTCGTTTACTGAAAAAAACAATGCTTATTCGACCTCGTACGAGTATATCTGCCTGGCTTGGTTATTTCGAATATCATAAAAACCTCACCCAATAGTTGTTTTATTATGTGTAGTTTAAAACACGATTTTTTTTGCATTTTTGCCACTGCACTGAAGAAGATGGCAGTTGCGATCGAAACGTCTGCATTAAATTTTATTTTTCAAGCTAGAGACGAGACTCAATTTTCTTATCACGATTTCGAGTGTTTTAAACGGCTTAAAAAACTCCAACACTAATTTGAAACTCAAATCCGTTAAAATTCTTGGAGAAATTGCCKTAAAAATAAGTTTTGAGATAAACGGGGCAAACTGATCATGCGCAAATCACTTTACAAAGCACTCTTGTCATCCCACATTGAATACACATAAAGTAAAATAGAACCGCTGTTGGCTGTTTACTGCAATCGGTTAACACCCTGCATTGGTCAATGATCAGGAATCAAACCTGAGACCTTTGCTAGGGTCATGGATCTTTATTGCTCGTTTTCAATCATCCTCATGAGATTCAAAAGATAAAAGACCACCGGCCATGTTGGTTGAATGAACAATAGATACTAATTAGTGAATTTCAACCAAGATGGCGGCTGTGACGTATATTGCAAACGAAGAATATCTGATAAAGGTCACCCTTATTAGTATTCTTTATATAAAGAATACTAACGAGTGTTTTATCAGATATAAAGGTCCATGCATGTGACCAAATAGGCTCATTCTATTGGCCTAATAACTTCATTACATTATGTATGAGTTTTTTGAACGTTTTCGGTTCAAAAGTAAACCCTAGCAAAATGATTTATGTCAAAGTGTAATTTTTAATTTTTTGTCAGCAATGCACTGCTATTATCAAAAAGATTATAGGATCGCCAATTAACTTTTCACCAATCTGTAGGGTGCAATCGAATTGTGAAAATTAAATGAAGTCTGTTGACCAATCAGATTTAGTTTATACAAGGTAAAACAATTAACTTACTTATTTCGCAATTTCTTCCAGTGTGATTAGTACAAGTACAGGTGTAGTTAGTTCCTTCATCTTTCACCGTACATTGTCCGCCATTTTGACAAGGGTTCGATGAACAAACAGTCTGCATTTAGGTAAAAAAAATATTTTTATTGCAGGACTCCTGAGCAATTCAACATGCACGTGAAACGAATGTGATTCTAATCAACATTAGGAATTCGTTTTGTGTTTTGATCGAAAGTTAAGAGGAGTGGAAATTTCAACCGATCATGATCAATCAAAGTAACATTTTCATTAGTACAGTATAATCGATTTGTACTGTCGAAGATATATGAAAATTAAGGTGGTTTTAAAGCGTCCTGTTTTAGTCTAGGTAGGAGAAAAATCGAATCCAGCAAAGGAATTTCTAGGAAACTTCTAGGTCGTGATACAAGGATGTCAGAGAAACCTTCTTTCTGTACTTGTCTGTCTACGGTTGTTTATAGAAATCAGTTTTGGCGAAAAATACTATTTCGATAATCATATAATAGATTATTGTGTATTCAGGCAGATGATGAACGGATATCAGTACTTGATACACCGTAGATTCATCTCTTAAAGTTTAGAATTTCGGATCATGTCAAAATATCTCGCTAATCTGCGACTGCAAAAATTTGAAAAGCTTTTGGTAAAAGATGATAGTATAGATTAGCTATGTACTTGYAGGTTTGTGTGTAATATTTTGTATATTTTATACTTGAATATCGTTAATAAAAGGAAACGGCGATTGAACTGGAATCCTCAATAAATATTTGGTCAGTTAGCTAATAGATGATGGAAAATCGTATTCTGTGTATTGTAGCTTTCCAATACTAACCTCCATTTGCAGAAATTTGGAGTTTGGTTTTGGTATTAGATTATTTTCAAATCCGGTTCCCGCCCAGTTGAGAAGCTCACATTGACATCGCGATTGATYCAAAGCAATGGTGTTCACTGACAAGCATTCMTTGTTTTGTACGCACTTGAAGCAGCATTCTTTAGTGCTCTTGGTTGTTTGGTTTGATAAAAGGCTGCCTGGTTTTGAGAAAACCTTTCCTTGTGCACTTTCGTGAAAGTTCTTAATGATAATTTCTCCCTGTTTGTCAAGATTAAGCACAGAGAATGCTGTCTTGAAGGACAGAAAACACAGCAGAAAAAAACTTAATAYTCCTSCCAGTATCATCCTGTGAAACTGAATATGCTTTCTGTTCTGTTCAGCTAAAGCTACGCTTTATACTGGAGTTGCGTAGTAATCATTATTCTTGCAAATAAATTGACATTATCTATTCCATAATTGGCTAAAATATTTTGGTTGATTTTATAAAAATGTTTCTACTCCCCTCTGTTTATGTGACTGTTTATKCATTGATACTTTTAATCGCAGAACTCACACGGAGCCATATGAGTTTTTTGATTGTTAATAGGTCTTTCAAAAAAGCCACCAGCAAATTTTTTTTGTAAATCCGCAAAGTCAAAATGAACGCTAAGATATTTGATTCACTTTTAAAACTTYTAAAACTTCGTAAAATTCTAAATTCGTATTTTCTCAAAGAATGATTTTTGAATATTATTCTATTTTTTATTGAATATTTTTTGTTTTCCATTATTCTTTTTRATCTTTTCAATTAATCTTGGATCACAAAAGGCATTCTGGAAAGCAGTTAATATTTTACATATATATTAAATTTCCAATTTCTATATCACAAATAGAATTTTTTATCAAATATTCAGTTTTGTATTAGTTTAGTAATCAACGTTATTATACAGAGAATATGTCATTGTACTAAGAATAACTGTGTATAATTAAGAAATATAAAGCGGCGCGCGTGTCTCTGTCCTCTGATATAAACACGGTGGGAGTTCGAAAAACACGAGAGAAGCAAGCTTAGGAACACGAGCGTAACGTTCCGTTTTACATTTCTTTTATAAAATTTTGTCCTCTGCTATAAACACGGTCGTCAGCCAATCAGAGTGTGCGTTATACATCAAAAATTTTATAAATAAATATTTGTTTTCTGGAGAATTGTTGATTGAATTTTTAAGATCTATTGTACTGCACAAATACCACGGCAGTTTGAATCAGGCAAGACCATTAGGAAACACTGAGGTTGGAGGAAGAGGTGGAGGGGTAGGGGTCTGTACATGGAATAGAAATCAGAACCAGCTTTTTTGTACCCACTCAACACCTTTTGAATGAAAACTCTAGTTTAACTGACTTTAGTAATTGCAAAGCAAATGTGAGCAAGGTGCTGAATTTTTTATGAACCACGTTGCTAGGATACAATTTAATGCCAAGTATATTGATCAACCCCTCCAAGCAACTGAGAATAACTCTGGMGAAAATAAATCAGGAAGTTCKTYATAAATCGGACCAAGTAGASCACGATAAACATGCGATATATAGTTAGTAAATAGCATAGTGTAGCTAGAGAATCTAAACCMGGGCATGCATTACTGAATTGAAGACACATTGATATAAACACGATAAAGCACTGATGGTTTGTACAGCATAGTGGAACAGGTGTAAAACTTCACCATGAAATCCAATTAACAAGTGAAATAACAGCTCATATTTTATCAATAAGTTTCGGACGATAGTCTATTTACACGGGTTAAACAGTCTGCAATTAAATTCAAAGTTCAATTCATTTCCAACTTAAATTCGCGGCAATTTGCACTAGAATTTGATCATGTTCGAATTTGCTGCGAAAAAACTGCGATCTGTCGTCGTGAATCGYCGTGAATTTCCAACATGTTTAAACGCGCGATWTGGTTTTGCGATAAGATCGACGCAAAAAATCGGTGCTCATGTCGCGCGACAAATTTGCATGTAAACTAGGTTGATACATTTATTCACAATGTTTGACTACTATTGCTGAATCAGCAGTAAAATGATCCATGCGTTGATAAATTACTTTTGGATTTTTCTTCTAGTTTTTGGTGTTTTTAGTATTATTATTACATTTGATCATACGTTAACTATTAATTGTAGAAACTTTCGCTCAATGACTATGAACGGCGTCACTCGGTGTTTCTAATAAACAGTTGTGCAATAACACTATTTTGTATGCAAATATTTCATTTTAACACCGTAAAAAGAAGTAGGTGAAATAGCTTACTGACGGTTTTGGAAGTTACTCACTTTACTTCAGTTTACTTAATTAGGATTGACGTCCGAAGCGTAGGTACCTGATTTTTACGAAAATTTATCCTTTTGATTAAATGTAAACTATTTATCTTGTTTTTCATGCATAAAACAATCCGCGTCAGTTATAAA